GTTGCGCAGACCCACAGTGAAACAGAAACCAGAGTCTATGTGGGGATGTGGTTAAGGTTCCTGTTTGTCCTTGTCACCCTGGAGAAATGGGGTCTGCCCAGGCCCCTCTGCCTTAGTCCAGGTCCCTGAGTGGAGATCTACTTATGTTTAGTCCTTTACACACATCCCCAACCTCACAGAACCCTCAAACTCACCACCACACGGCAGTGCCAACAACAGCCCCACTTTACAAACTGGAAAATTGAGGCTCAGGGAGGGCAAGAGACATATACAAAGATGCACAGGAGGCTGGGCGCAGTGGCTCATGCCTGTAATCTTAGCACTTTGGGAGGCTGAGGCAGGTGGATCACCTGAGGTCAGTAGTTCGAGATCAGCCTGACCAACATGGTGAAACCCCATCTCTACTAAAATTACAAAATTAGCCAGTTGTAATGGTGCATGCCTGTAATCCCAGCTACTCAGGAGGCTGAGGCAGGAGAATGAACCTAGGAGGCAGAGGTTGCAGTGAGCTGAGATCACGCCATTGCACTCCAGCCTGGGCAACAAGAGTGAAACTCTGTCTCAAAAAAAAAAAAAAAAAAAAAGATGCACAGGAATCAAGCGGACCTGCATTGCAATTCCAGCTCTGCTATCTCCTGGCTGTGTGAGCTTGGGTAAGAAAGAGAAAGGTTTTTGTCTCTGGGCCTCAGTTTCCCCATATGCCAGCTGGAGTACCCTGCTGCAATACCCGGGTCACTGGGGATGAGGGTGCATGGAAAAGTCCCTGGCATGGAGCCAGTGGGTGAACCATTGCAAAATGGATACCACTAAAATAATAATGATTATTACCACTCAGCCACATCCCCTAAGACTCAGCACCCAGAGACCAGCAGAGGAGGAGTCCCTGGAGACTTGCATAGGAATGGGGCCCGGATACTACTGCATTTCACCTGTCCCTTGGTGTCTTTTTTTCTTTCTTTTTTTTTTTTTTTGAGACGGAGTTTTGCTCTTGTTGCTCAGGCTGGAGTGCAATGGCGTGATCTCAGCTCACTGCAACCTCTGCCTCCTAGGTTCATTCTCCTGCCTCAGCCTCCTGAGTAGCTGGGATTACAGGCATGCAGCACCACGCTTGGCTAATTTTGTATTTTTAGTAGAGACAGGGTTTCTCCATGTTGATCAGGCTGGTCTCGAACTCCTGACTTCAGGTGATCCGCCCACCTCAGCCTCCCAAAATGCTGAGATTACAGGCATGAGCCACTGTACCCGGCCCCTTGGCGTCTCAGGACAGTGACCTGTGCCAGTTTGGTTCCCTGCCCCTGGTTTTAGCATTTTCTGTTGATTCCAGCTTTCTCTTCCTTCAGCCTCTCTCCAGTTCCCTTTGGGAAATATCAGCCCATGTGTGCTGGGCCCAAGACATTTGCTTCCTGGTAGGGACAAGGGTGCAGGGTCCTGGGGCTGGGGGTGACCAGAGCAGAGGTAAGGTGGCCTGGAGGGCTTCAATGACTGCTGAAGACCTCCAAAGAGACTTAGGGAGAGTAGGGCTACATCTTAGAGGGGCCTCACTCAGAAGCTCCAGGGATAAGAAGCCCGAATCTGGTCGTCTTGGTTATATCCCCAGCAGTGGGGCATCCATGGGCATCAGGTAGAGCACACGGGCAAAGCTGTCAGTTGCACAATACAGGAACACACACCATCAGACCCTGGAGCACCATCAGAGTGGGAGCAGTAACTAAGAACACCAGGTGGTTAGAGGACACCAGTTCTTAGGATACACTAGGCAGAGGGAACACACAGACCACATGTCAGAGCACCAACTCTCAGACATGAGCACCTGGCGAAAAGGAACGCAGTCAGTGTTTCAATCACAATGTCCAGGGAGCACAGACTGTTCCACCGCCTCAATCACAGTGTTCCCTGAGTGAAGACATCCTAGTGCCACAATCACTGCATGTCAGAAATGCACTTTGACACAATCACATTGTCCCTAGAGCACCAACACCACTGCACAATCACTGTCCTAGGAGCAGACACAGTCACTGTCCCAGTCACTGCATCCGATGAGGCCCCATAGTCACCCTGTGACAGTCACAGCATTCCTGGAGCACACACAGTCCCTGTCACAAACACTGTCCTAGAAGCACACAGTCACACTGCCCTGTCACAGTGTCAAAATTACACTGTCCCTGGAGGGCACATAGTCACTGTGTCACCAGCATGAGACCCCAGGAACTCATGCAGAACAGACAACTAAGGCAGCCACAGCTGGTCATACCCAGACCGCTGGAGCAAACGCAGGACTGTCGGAGGAGACCCTCGGAAAAGACCAGGCTCAACAAGCACACCCTCACTGTACTGTCACCTCTGCAGTCCGGGACTCCTTCCCTCTGTGCTGGGACTGTGCCCCCCCTCCACTGTTTCCTGCCTCTGAGCAGCTACTAAACCCTAACACTCCTGCCCTGAGAGGGGAACTCCCACCTAACAGAAGCCTCCCAAAACAGTGCTCCCCCAAGAGGCACCCTCTGGATTTCTGACCCCAGCTGCTGCAGGAAGAGTCCGCTAACATTCCTGCAATAGTCTTCCATCCCCTAGAAGGACCCTGAGAGCAGCCCAGCCTAAACTCAAGATCCTGGTCCCAGCAGGCACCCCCTTACCGAGTGCCCCAAGGGTACCCAACACTGCGAATCTAGCCCTCAGCATAGTGCCCCCAGGAAGGTCCTTCCAAGTGGTTCCCAGATTAGCCGCTGTCCTGCATTGTCACCAAGAATACGGACCCCTGAAGCTGCAGCCCCCTTCCCCAACCGAGACTTCGTTAACACTACGCGCAGCATGGCGCCCCCAAATGGACCCCAAGATGGGCTTCAGCAGGAAGCCTCCCGTAGCGCGCACAACCTGGGGCCAGGTCCCGGATGCCCCCGCAGCTGAACTCCCTCTTCCGCCCCCGCCAGTCACACCGACCCCACCCGCATCCTAGCGCCCCCTGCGGCCGGCGGCTCGAGTTGCCTCCTCCCTGCGCGCCCATCCGCTCCGCGCGCAACCGCCGCGGGGAGTCTTACCGCCTGCTGCTGCCTCCGCCCGCGCCACCGCTGCCGGTGCCAGTGCCATGGAAGGACGAGGGCCAGGACATGCGGGTCGTGCGCAGGCCGGGCCGGTCGCTGGTGTCCATGGCATCGGCGCGCTCTATGGGCCGGTGAGGCGGCCGCTCCGGCTCGGTGCGCTCCGCGCTGTCGGAGTAGCCACGCTGCTGGATACGGATGGGGGTCCGAGGCTGCCGCCACAGGTGCTGGGGGGGAGGCTTCAGGGTGGCCTGGCCCTCCCGGGGCCCGGGCAGTGACAGAGACAGGCTTCTTTCTGAGGGGACGGTCGGGGGCTCCATGGCGCTGGCCCTCACTTGCGCCCCGGGGGGGGCCTGGCCTTTCCAACCTACACCCAGCTCAGCTGCGCGCAAGCAAACAAGCCCAGGGCCCCGCAAGTGCGCCCGGCCGCAGTAGGGCCATGGCGCCCCGGGGACAGACCCGGGGGCGCTGCGGGCCAATCGCCCCCGGGCCGGGCTCTGCGGCTTCCTCTCAGCGCTTGGAGCTCTCCTCCGTGCCGGGCGGCGCTCTCCGCGCTCCGCGCCCCGCTCGGCGCCAGCCTCTGCTCCCCCGCCCCGTCCCGCCCCTCCCCGGCCTCCGCCCGCCGAGGCTGTCAGCGCCGCCCCCCTCCTCCTTCGTCCGGGCCAGTGGGGGGCAGCCACCTAAGGAGGGGGGCCCTCCCCGCCCACGCAGAGCCCTGCTCCGGGCGGGGAGGGGGCGCTGGAACTCGGCTGTCTCCAAAGCACCCTGATTAGCCGCGGCGCGCACGGGCACGAAGGAGTTAAACGGTTAATCCGATCTGGAAGAAGACACAGGACTGGTTGCCAGAGTGTCAGTCAGTCGGTCCATCACGGCGAGGGCGGAGTCCGGTGCTGGTTTGTCCTCGCCGCTACCCCTGGCCAGGGGGAGCTTTTGGGGAGTGGTCCCGGTGCCACCGGCGCGGTGCCTGCAGCGGGCGGCGGCAGAGTGTGTGGGATCTCCTGTCTGTGCGTCGGAGGATAGTGATGGTGCGGGCCCGGGGCGGGATGTGCGCGCACGTGGCCCCTTCCGAGGGTTGTCTGTGTTTTCAGTGTCTGCTGGAAGTGTGTGTGCGCACGTGGTTGGCTGCTGTTGTCTGCCCGTTTCTCTGGATTTGGCTGTGTGTATATCTGTGTGTGTCTGTGGGTGAAGGATGTGTGGGCACATGTGATACCTATTTGGATGATGTGCATCCCTACGGGGTTTTTTTTCAGGTGGCCTGGGGACTGTGAATGTGTTCTCAAGCGCTTGGATGCGTTTGTGGTCTGTGCGTGCTTGCGGAGTTGTGCACGCGATTCTGCCTCTGTCGTCTGACTGTAGTGTCCGAGGGCGTCTATGTATGTTAGTGTGTGTGCATGTGTGTGTGGTCGGCCTGGGGCCTCTTTGGGGTGTTTCTGGGGTGTGTCCCATTGGTTCCCTTGTGGCTCCAGGAGGACACCCTGTGGCGGATACCCCGGCTGCCCGCCCACCGCTCTATACATCACTGCCTCTTCTAAAGCGCTTCTGCGGGAGGTAAACTGAGGAAGGTCCCGGGTACCCGCGGAGAGCACCCCCGTGCCCTTTTCAGGAGAGTAAACAGGCGAGCCTCCTCCCGGCGGCCCCCGCCGGCAGAGCCCCCCTTCCGGCACCTAAATCGGGAGTCGCCGTGACTCACGCTCCCGCCTCCCCCAGCGCCGCGCCGAGCGAGCGAGCAGAGAGCGAGCGGGATCCGAGTGCGCCCCCATCCCCCTCAACCCCCCCCAAGGCTGGCTGCTGGGCGGGGGGAGTGCACGCACCCCCGTGTCCCGCCCCCACCACGCCCATAAGGGCTTAAACGCGAAACTGCTCTGCTGCGCGACCCAGGGACCAGGCCCCCGCCCCAGTGCGCCCCCTCTCACGGGCTCCCCAGGGCAGGCGATGCTGTCTGCCACCGCCCTGCCACCTCGCTCTTCGCCTTATTTAAAAAAAAAAAAAAAAAGACTGCCCGTCTTTTCAACCCCCACAGCCACTTTCCTCCCCGCCAGAGGGGGCTCCCGGCGTGGGCGAACGCCGAGCAAAAACCGGTCCCCTCATCGGCAGCCGCGGGGTATCCCAGGCGCCAGCACTGTGTCCCCCACTTCTCTCAGGAACACCCCCCTCAGTACACACTCAAAACGTCTTCTAGGGAATTTGCAGGGGCTGCGAGTTCTCCCCAGATCATATTTGAAAGTCCTGGGCTGGGCCAAATTCTGGGGGGGAGGGGTGCTGTAACGTTGGTTAGAGATCTGGAAGGGGGTGTGGGTGAGTAATGTGAGGTGGGTGGGGGTGTCAGGCCACAGCTGGGGTTGTAGAAGAAAGAGGAAACGAGGAGCAGTGGGGTGAGCAGGGGATAAACCGACTGGACCTGAGGCTCCTGGGATGGGCAAGGGGAGGTATAATTAAGCAGTGCAAGAGGCGAGTGACAGTCACTTGCTCTCCCTATCTGGAAATGAACCATTGGACCATGACGGAAACAGAGACCCTAGAACCCACCAATTGAGTAGATGGGGGTGGGGGTGGATTGGAACTGCAGAGAGCAGAGACCAGAGGAGGGCATGGGGGCAGGGTGCAGGGGCCGGCCAAAAGCCAGGACCAGCTCAGCTGTCTGACTTTACTGCTCATTCTTGAGCCAAGAGGGGGGTTGATTACCCTGGGAAACTGGCTGGGTACCCGGTAGGTCCCCAGATGAGGATCAGCAAGAGATGTTGTGTGAACCCAGAGCTCACAGATATTTCTCACATCTCCCTAGGAGAAAGAAAAATGCTAGTTCAGACCCCTTCCAAGACCCCACTATCCCCTTCAAGGCGGGGAAGAAACCTGATCCTCCCAGCAGGGGACGCTAAGGCGGGTGCACAGCCGCCTGATCAACCTGCCCCAGCTCTGTGAACATGGGGGCATCTTGGGGGTTGGAGACAGGACACCTCTTTCCTCAGTCCTGCCCCGTGCTGACTCAGGCAGCTGGACAATGAAAGAAGGGGTTCCTAGAGCCTGCAAAGGGTGCCTTGGGGGAGGGGTGTCACAGCCCGCCACAGGACAAGTTTCAGCTAGTTTTGCAAACCGCAGGAGCATGGAGATCGGGAAGCGCTGGTGGCTGGACCTAGCCCAGTTGGTACGGTGACTCCCCAGCCCACCTCCCACTCTGCTCCCTCTCCTACCTACCTGTCGTTCTCCGCCCTGGTGATGGAAATCCGCGGTGGGATCAGCAGCGGCAGCGTGGTGGGCCGTGGCGGCAGAGGGACCCCAGGGTCCGAGGGCTCAGGCTGGGCCCAGCCCAGGCCAGGACCGGACGAGAGGCGGCGGCGAGGGCGACGCAGGTCGGCCCCCAGCATACCGGCACGGCCGGGTTCGGGGGTGTCCCTCGGTCTCTGGGGAGGGACAAAGTGGAATGGGGGCGTGGCCTGGCTCGGAAGCTGTGAGCCCCTCTTCCCAAGAACACCCCTACCTATCTAAGGGAGTAGCTAATGGGGGTATAGGCGCCCTTCTTGTGTGAACCCCTCGCTGACCCCTCCCACAGAGGGTTCCCTAACCATCCCTTCTGGCTGCCCCTTCTTAGCCATAATTTTGGTGGGGTCCCGCCTCGATGCCCCAGCCTTTGGGTCTGTCACATATTTACATTCTGTCTCAAGTGTTAGACCTCTCAAACACATCACCTTTTTAGGGTCTCTTCCCACCCTCCAAGTCTAAGAGGCCCCCTCTTGGTCTTAATGTCAATGGCCCCCTTCCATCTCCTAGCCAAAATCCTCTCCTCATTTTTCTCTGAGCCGGCTGAGAGCCTCTTAATCTGGGCAGCAGGAGAAAAATAGCATCAAGGGGGTAAACTGAGGCACAAGGGGACCAAATTCCTTGCCGCTTGGAAGTAGTGAAGCCACGTTCAGGGAATAGCCATAGTCACTACAGGGCGATAGTCTCCCAGGGGAGCGAAGCCCCGCCCCCAGCCCAACCCCCTCCCCTCGCACCTCGGCCACGGACAGGGCACTGCGACTCCTCTTCATCTCGTCAACCTAGCGCGCCGTTGGGGATGCGGGGGCCATGTCGGTAGGGCCAGGACCTCCTGCAGGACCAAGCCAAATGGATCTGCCATCAATGCCCCAGGGCTCCCCCTGCTGGCCGGGCTTAGAACCCGCCCCAGCCCCTTGCCTATTGCCTCTCCTGGGGCATGACGTCAGCTGGTGGCTGACGCACCACCAATGGGTGACGTCGCCCTCCCGTTGCCAGGGCGACAGCTGACGCACGGCTGAACTCCTGACGGCGTCAATGCTCGGGTTGGCCACTGGGGGGCCGAGAGCCTCCGGGCCCGGGTCGCCCCAGCCCCCACCCTTCCTCCCGCGGGGGCTTCCCCGGCTCGGGGATCCCGCAGAAAAAACTGGGAGCTCCCAGAGCTGGCCGCGTGCGGCGCGTGGTCCGAGCCGGGGGCCGGAGGAAGCGTCTCCTCCGAGCTGTTGGGCTTTTAAGCCTTAAACCCGAAATAGCTCCGATGTGCGGGGGCCGGGCGCAGAGAGACGGCGGCTTGGGCACAGATGGGGGACGCACAGGCAGAGGCGCGTGGAGACAGACAGGGACGTGTGGAAATAGAAACAGACAGACAGGGACACAGACGCCGTTCCCGAAGACGGGTGCGCTCTGCAGCCACCGATCCCTGTCTGAAATGCTTGGGGGAGGGAGAGGCTGGCTTACTTTACCTTGACACCCAGGCGCTGAAGATTATTGCTGTGTGGCCATGGGTCAGTGTCTTAAACTCTCTGAGCCTCCGTTTCTCGTCTGTGAAATGGAATGATATTCCCTATAGGGTTCATGTGAGAATGAAATGAGATCAAACCGTATTGAACAGAATAGTGTTTGGCACTCAGTAAATGTTTAATAAATGCTAACATCTGACCCTGTGGGAGCCTGTTAGACCTCGATTTAGATCACGATCTTCCTCTGCCCAGAGCCCTCAATGGTTCTTACCTCACTCAGAGGAAAAGTGAAAGTTCTCACGTGGCCCACACAGTCCTGCCTGATATGCCCAGTCACCTTCCTGCCCTGAGCTCCGGCCACACTGGTCTAGCTGTTTCTGGACACAGCAAGCATGCTGGTGCCTCAGGCCCTTTGTGCTTCCAATTCTCTCCACCTGGAACTCTTCCCCAAAATATCCACAGGTTGGCCAGGCGCAGTGGCTCAGGCCTGTACTCCCAGCACCCTGGGAGGTTGAGGTGGGTGGATCACAAGGTCAGGAGTTTGAGACCAGCCTGGCCAACATGGTGAAACCCCATCTCTACTAAAAATACAATTAGCTGGGCATGGTGGAGGGCACTTCCAGCTACTCAGGAGGGTTAGACAGGAGAATCACTTGAGCCAGGGAGGTGGAGGTTGCAGGGAGCCAAGATCTGGCCACTGCACTCCACCCTGGATGACAGAGGGAGACTCTGTCTAAAAAAAAAAAAAAATCCACAGGTTCCTTACCTCTTTTAGGTCTTTGTTTATATCTCATCCTTTCAGGCATTTCTTTCTTTCTTACCCCACCTCATTTAAAATTATAATACAACCTCCCGGGACTTCTGATTCCCCTTTCCTGATCTTCCCCCCACATACGACACTATGTAATTTATTTATTACATTTATTGTGGCTGGGCGCAGTGGCTCACACCTGTAATCCCAGTACTTTGAGAGGCCAAGGCGGGCAGATCACCTGAGGTCAGGAGTTCAAGACTAGCCTGGCTAACATAGTGAAACCCCGTCTCTACTAAAAAAATACATAAATTAGCTGGGTGTGGTGGTTTGTGTCTCCTCACACTGGAATGTTAGCTGCAGGAGGGCATGAAAACTTGTTTGTTTGGGCCGGGCGCGGTGGCTCAAGCCTGTAATCCCAGCACTTTGGGAGGCCGAGGCGGGTGGATCATGAGGTCAAGAGATCGAGACCATCCTGGTCAACATGGTGAAACCCCGTCTCTACTAAAAATATAAAAATTCAGCTGGGCATGGTGGCGTGTGCCTGTAATCCCAGCTACTCAGGAGGCTGAGGCAGGAGAATTGCCTGAACCCAGG